AGCTAAAAGTTAATGTAAAATACTGACTTCTCAACATCAGAGGAGAAAGAGACTGTATGTCTTCTAGGCTGACTCACTTTTTCTTCTCTATACATAGTTCAACAAGAATATTTGGAGAGTCTTTCATTGTGCTTCATAGATTCTTAAAATCATTTAAGTTGGAAAATACCTCTAAGATCATCAAGTCCAAACATAAACCTAACATCTAAACCTAAATCTTGGCTGTAGTGGACAGCCAAATCCACCACTAAACCATGTCCCTAAGTAGCATTTCTACACATAAGTGTGAATGCCACCTCACGTTACCTCTATTTCAGTTTCCCCACATTTTGTTATAAACTGGCCTTGCTTCTGAACCTCCAGGGTCTAATGATCCTGATCTATGCTTTGGAAGAGCTTTGAGATCATGGAGCAGATGAGAAAAGCTGTACTGTGGGCAGGTGGCAGCAGCACTGAGCTCTTGAATTAGGGAAATTAGCATTGAGTGATGGTGAAGGAGGGCACAACCAGTGCTGAGATGCATGATTACATGGACAAAAAGGGTCAGGCTACACAGAGAAGCTCAGGGGAGAGTCCTCTACACATGAGGATTTTGTGGAAGAGGACATGCAACAGCCCCACAGGAAAAGGTCAGAGACAATAATCTCTATGGACTTGGTAAAAAACAAGATGGGAAGTGTCTTCACAAGGTTGAAGCTTCCTCATCCAGAGGAATAAACACCTCTATTCTGAAAAGAGGGAAAGCTGCTACAGGCTTTTCCAGACTTTATCCCCTCTCTCCTTCACCCCTGGTCCAGTGGAAGTGGTACATTCCATGATGCCTATCTGAATACAAGCCCTAGCTTCAAATAAAAATCAGGTCTGACTCCCTGCTGTACTCGAGAGACGTATTTACCACCTTGGAGAGATAAGCATTTAGCTGATTATCTTCAGTCTCTGTGCATTGTCAGCTTCTTCTAAGGGGGGGGGGTATAATTGCAGGAACCAGGTGGGGATTGTGCCTGCTGGACTAAAATGACTCTGATATTCCAGATTGTTTCTCCCCTCTCTGGGACACCAAGAACAGAATCCTTCAGAGCAGGACCTGCTACACAAGTCCAGATCAGCTTGCATAAAGAGCATGAAAGTATCCTTGAGACTGGTTTCCTAAAGGAAGAAAGCATATGTTCTTATGGGTTGTGCATGTGCTAAACTTGGTGTGTCCTCCCATTCCTTTCCAGTAACTTTGAAACCTGTTGGTCTATTTTAATTAGATTTGATAAATTTCATAGCAAACAAAGTTCCTGCAGGTAGTAGGTAGCCAGTTAGAGGAGAGGGACCCTATAAATATCCTGATTCAGGGAAATGGTGCCCTGTGCATATATTAAACACTAGGGGCATCACATAGGAAAATATCACATATAAGTACTCATCTGGATGAAAAGCTTCAGTGAGAACTTCATTTTTCAGGAACAAAAATCCATAGGGGACTATGGTTCACTCATTCTGCACCTCACAAAACTACTACTTTTATTTTGTTATGATGTAGATGGGAAGAAAAAATATTTAATTTACGAAACACTGTAAAAAAGTGGATCTAGTGCATCTAGCAGATTTAGGAACTAGGATTCAGGAGTCAATTTGTTGTTGGCTTCCTGATTGTAACAAAAACCAGCCCTAGCAGAGAGAGTGGTGCAGCATCTGAAATCAGACAAGGTTCTGAACAGGGCTAAAGTGAAGAAAGGTGTTTAGGGCACATATCTGGGCAAATGTTGTGGTTCCTGGGGTCCTTCCATGCAGCTCAAAGTAGATTGAGGGGAGCTGGTCTAACTGTAGACTTCAATTATTTGTAGGAGAGTCACAAAGAGAGTGGAAGCAAACTCCTGGTAGTAATAGATAGTAAGAAAAAGGCAGAGCTAATGGATAGAGGTTGTATCCTTGGAAACTCAGGTGAAATTTCTTCATAAGGTATGACAGCACTGGGCACCAGCTAGTGAAAGAAATGATAGAGTCTCCATCACAGAAGGTTTCTAAGCGTCATGTAGACAACAGCATTAATTTCTAGTGGAGGTTGGACTAGACACCTCCAGAGATCCCTTCAACCACCATTTCTGTGGTCCTTTACCTTCTGTCCAGATGAGGATGCAAGAAAACAGCTCATATCAGCAATGCTGGTACTTAGAGTGGCAACTTTTATCTCACCTCAACTTTACCAGAGGACATATGAACATATTCTTAGTCATTGTTCAATTCCTTGTATAGAAAAATGGTTTATTAAGGTATTTGTGATTATTATTTGCTGACTATAAATAATTAAAATTATTTTGTACTGTGCTAAACTTGTGTCAGACACATCTTGTGCCTCCTTGTACCATCTGTAGCATTGTGCTATAGACTGTTTTCAACCAGCTTTGGTTGTTAGGATTTATGGAGGCATCAGCAGACTGTGGATGACTGTCACTGGTTTTCTCTAAGTCTCTTCTTCCATAAAGATTATTAACTAAAAAAAAAAAATCCTTTATATATGGGTATTTTGAGGCCCCTATTTTTCTGGATCATTAATGTCTGCAGGCCATGTACTTCTGTAAACTTTTTGAGGTAACGTGTTCAGACTCAGGCAAGTTTTACAATTTCATCAGAACTAAAGTATGCTTAGAGCACATTGAATTATTGCTCAATTAATTTTGCATCCTAATTAAGTGGAAGACAATCTTATCCCTGACAAGTCTCTTTTCTGTGTTAAATCTATCCTGTTTCAGGTGTGATGCAGAGAATAACTTATCTGAATAGAACCAGACAGAGCTGAGCTGCTGTCTGCACTACATAAAGCTCAGGGCAGCTCCACCCCAGCCATGGCAGTGTGATGTTGCTGCTGTCTTGGCAGTCCCTACCCAGCTTCTTGCTTCTCTCTACCTACTAGCTCAGCAGAGCTCACAGCAAAACAGAGGAGTGTAGGTGCATCTTACTACAGTCTATAGAAATACCTGCTGTGAAACAGTGAGGAAAAAATGTCAACAAGCTCTCAAAGAAAGGAAAAATACCTAAGATCAGAATCATTCCAGCAGCAGGCACAGCTTTAGGGACTACCTTGCCCATAAGTTACTGCCTGGCAGCACACAGCACGCAGTAAATCTGTCTTGGGCACTAGCCAGCAGTCCAGTTGTAACACTGAACTGTTCTAGCACAGTTCTCTCAAGAGGACTGAAAATTTTTAGTTTGTGCAGGCAGCTTCCTCTTCTGCTTCTAGCATTCATCCCACTGCACTTTCTCATTTAACTGGAGATTTATTTTCTCTTTATTCTTAATTAAAAAAGCAGCAATTGTTGGACAGCTAGCTTTATCTACAGATCACATAATAAACAGCATACATGTGGTAAACAATGTGTTTCATTTCCAGGTGGCTTTGAAAGAAACACATGCTTATCTTCCTGTAATCAACTCATTACATAAATTTTCTTGCAGAATTGGTCCAGATGTCCTGTTTTTTCCCTTCTCTCCCTCAGAGGAATTACAAACTGCAGAAATTATTTCAACATGCACCTATATGAACACAAGCAATTATTTGTGGCACCTATAGATACAAAAACTTGATCAGTGCTGTCAAAAGATTCTTTTATGTCATCACAAACCCAAGCAAATGCGGTGCCAATGTCAGACTCTGAAAGCTGTGTGGAATAGGTCAGTGGGTCCTGAGTACATTACTGGATGCGGCCCAGTACTCCCTGCCTTCTTCCCAGGACTTACTGACTCTTTGAAATTATATTCTGGAAGCACAGTTTGCAGAGCCTGCAGAAGTCCTGTGGTTTGCTCACTTGTACTCCCCTCTGCTCTGGTCACAGAACCAATGATCCTGCTAGGCTGGCAGTTCAGAAAATTCTCTCTTCTTATTGTTGTTTCTCATGGTACACGGATGCTTCTTTTTTCCTGGGAAATGCTTCCACATTTCCCATATGTGCATTTCTGGGCCATGGACTTTTCATTTTTTGGGTGTCTGATACAGAATTATGACTTACAATGGCATTAAGTAAAAAGCTTGACTGCAAGTAACTCAGCAAATTCTCAACTCAGTCACATCTAAGCATAAGGCTTCAATGGACTGGACACTTCTCATGCCCAGTTGCTATCAGTAGTTTACAGCATTTACTACAATTTTTAACTGCAGAGGGTAAACAATATGCTTTCTTGTCCTTGAATCACAGGAACAACTGAATCCTGGAGTAAATGATTGCTTTTCATGTATTATATATTTATAGGGAACAAAAGACGATGAAAACCATGGACTTACAATTCAGCCTATGACATGAAGAAACCAGCTCCTGTTCACCTTCTAGTTTCATGACTCTGTCTTGTCTCATCATCAGAGATGAGTGAGTTGGACAATCTTTGCTTCCTTCTCCAGAGTGAAGAACAGTCCTCCTTCTCAGTTAGGAAAACAGATATTCCTCTCCATCCTTCTCCATCTTCAAGTGCCACTAAGGGAACTTTGCTGTTTTCTGAGCTTGACTCGGTCAACCTTTTCTGATCATGTTGTAACCTCTCTGCATAATATATTCACTCTTCTAGGGCTCAGCTGTAAATATACCAGGCCCAGGCTACAGAAAAGACACTCATCTAGCACAGAATAAGATATTAAAACTCATATCTGATTATTTTAGACCTAAAGTTACTGGAACTCCTTGCAGTATTGTATAAGGAATTAACTGCATGCAAACACACACTCACCTCCTATGAAACAAGCAGACCAGACACTTTACCCATGAGGAAAAGCTATCACATATGCATTAAATTGGACTTTGATACTGCAGGCAACACCCCTCTGCAACTGCCCAACAAACCCTGAGCTACCCATAAGCAAAGCAGCCCTACAGACACATGCAGGGCTCCTCCACAGGAGCTGGCAGATTGCAGAGGGAGTAGATCCAAAAGAAGCCTGGAGGGAACTGCACAAGAGATACAGCAGCGTTAACAATACACTGGAACAACTAACGGGGAGAAAAAGAAAAGAAGAAAATAGCCAGCCCAAAACTGATAGAGATCTTTAATTTAAAACCAAGTAAGTTTATTCATTGTCAAAGTGCAACAAAATACCCCAGGGATAGCACATTCCACTCCAACAATTAAAACTGCATTAAAAAGTAGATAGGATGGTCTGAATCTTAAAAAGAACTAGCACAAGAGCTAGTGCTTTTCTTTGTTTCAATATATTTATCTTTGGGTGACAGAGATAGTCACTGATTAATTTTTTAGGTACTTAATTTACAGCTTCAATGCTTTTATTTGCAAGTCATCCTGCTCCTTATAAATGCTAGCTTGGGACTGGAGAACTGTAACACACAGGCACTTAGGAGAGGGCAGTTTTGAAAGAACGGCGATGTTGGGCTCAGTCACATATGGAGGAGACCCAGTTGGGAGCTACTAGATATTCTAAATAGATATTGCTCCCAACTGTTTCTCTCTAAAATCTGAGATAAGATGTTCAGTACCATTCAGAAAAGCAGATTCTGCTGCAGCTGAGGGGATGCAAGCAGGCAAAAGGAGAGCACAGGACTACAAAAGCTTACAGCAGGTGTTGCTTGAGGGAGCTGCCAGTTTCTGACCACTGAACCCATTTTTGCTGTAGAAGTAATTACCTTGAAAATGCTGCAGGTAGGTCTTACACCCATAGCAGCCGATTCTCATCCATACTTGTTACTTTGCTTCAGCTGAGCTTTACAAGCCCAACAGGATGCTCTATCACATTGCAATTATGTATCTTCTGCTAACGCTCTCTGCCCACTGATTTCAAAATACTTTATAAGCATCACTCCTAAAGCTTAAACCAAGCTTCACTGAAAGCTTAAACCATTCAAGCTTAACCAAGCTTAAAGTTCTTTGACATACAGGAATTTTAAAGGAAACAGAATACAGTAAACATTTGCAACAAAATGCCAATAGAGTTAATCTCCTGAGTCCCAGTCCCGAACTTATCCTTCTTTTCCTCTGACATTCTTTTTCTCCTCCTACCTATTTATTACAGCAAGAAGGACTACATTTATTCTGCACAAGTTTATTAACCACAATACAGACAAGTACTTCCAGTATTAAGCCAGTTCCTATTTCCATATGGAGATTGCCTGTCTGGTCCATGTCAGTATGATGGCCTGGTCTCAGCTGACTCTGTTTGGTTTGTGTCTTTTGGCTTTGCTGTTCTCATGATAACTGTCTTCAGAGGGTGCTTGGCCCTTTCCATTTGTCCCAGATTCCTCTGGAAATTTCTGGCCCTCAGCCAACACCTGTCGAATAGTCATGTTGATGCGGGAGGACTGCAGGTACTTGGCACACACCTGCCAGTCCTCATCAGAGCTGTGCTCAAGGACTGAGCCAGCAGGAAGGTCTGAAGGAAGAGCTTGGTGGAGGCAGGAAGGCAGAGCTGTCCCCTCGGGGTTGGGCAGGACCCGGGGCACAGCGTGGTACAGCAGGCGGCTGAAGCCGGACATCACCATGATATCCCCGCTGTGCATCAACATCGCTGTCGGCGCCTCCTCCCGCTTCAGGCCCCCCAGCAGAAATATTGAGGATTGCCCAAAGCTAGAGACGGTGTAAAGATGGGGAGAGAACAAATTCAGGTAGAAAACAATTTTCTGTACAGTAAGAAAATATCAGTAGTTAAATTCCTTCATAAAACCACCCCAAGCAATCACAAAAACCAGAGGGATGCCTAAGAACAACTTTTAGGTGGGAACACAGCAAACAGACTAAGATCTGGCTCAAGATAGGCAGAGTGTGAGCAATTGCCCTGCCAGGTTTGAAGCTCTGCTGAGAAACTTCCTTAGTACTCAATTGGCACTCTGCTGCTTTAGAATAGACCTGTGCTCTCTGCAAAAGAGCTCTTCACTCCAAGCACTATATCCAGGCTATTCAAGCAGTCCTTAAAGAAAAACTATGTCCCTGACCTACAGCATTCTGTTATTCAAATCTTCTGAGAGTGAAGATTATATACCCAATTAGCAAACCACATCATACTGCCTTCCCATAACCATGTGCAGCCCTAGAAAAAAGCCATGTATCTTTGCATAACACTCAAGTCTGCTTTCCTTGACTCACCTGAATGATAACAGGGGCCGAGAATGGTCAAGCTCAGACTCATCCACATGAATTCCCAGGGAAGAGTCAAAATGATAGTAGTTCAAGATCCCTGCTTGGGCCTGGAAACCCCGAAACCCACAGGCTGCAGCCACTTGCTCTGATAGGAATGCAAGGTCTGAGGGGAAAGGAGTGTGGTGATTTGCTGAGTACTTCTGGAAGGAGAGGGAGGAGAGAAAAAAAAAAAAAGAAAGCCACACCCAACACATCAGAGCAGCAAATACACTTGGAAACAACAATTGAAAAAGAACTCAAAATCCTGGCTGATAGTCGTGGAGAAAGACATCACATTTACCTAGAAAATGACTACAACACAGGCAGAACCACAACAAATTTACCTCCTACCATTAAATTCGTGGCCTAGGCTGAGACTGACAGAGATTCAATTAATTGTGGAGTTTATCATTATATCTAGATGCTAAACTTGAAATCAGTAAGATTAGTACCAACATCCTGAGGATCATCTTAGCCACAACCTGAAGCTGCCAATGGAAACACAGTTTCATAGCCCATCAACAGAGCCCCAAAACAAGCATCCTTATTCCTTCATTAATAACAAGCAGAAATCAATTGCAAACCTACTTTTTCTCTCTCCCATAAGTCATTCTGAAAGGACTGGAAGATAATAACCAAACTTTTATTAAGGCCATCCAATAACAAGCTCATCTGGTAAATAAAAGGCTGGAAACAGATTTGGTTATCTGCAATATACAGATAAGATGCATATTCACTCTGCCAGTGTTTATCAGCCTCCACCTATCTGTTTATTTTGATCAGGATCCTCAAAACAACTGTTAGTTGGTAAGAATGCACTATAGTGTTCAGACTCACTAAAGTTCCAAAATCACATGAGCAGCAGTTTTTTCTTGTTCTTGCTCACTCCATCGAAGAGTAGTTTCCCAGAAGTCACACTCAGATTTAAGAGTTAGCAATGCTTTTGTAATCATCCCATTTGGTAGGTAAAAATGCCACTTACCCTGAAATAATTGCAGGTTTAAAGCTGAGTGTATGTTAACATGACAACTTTCAAAGGAAAGAATGCAGCAATGGACTTCTGCTGTTAAACCCTTCACAGTAAACCAATACAAATTAAAATGTTCTTAAAAGCACAGTTTGTTAGTGCCTTTCCTAAAGACTGTCTTGTAGGATCATAAACATTTTATTCCATTATGTCCTTTTCTGTTTGCCATTCTGAGTGCTTATGGCTAAGAAAAATAGAGAAGAATTGAACCTCAATACCTTAGTATCCCAGTTATAATGGTAACCAAGGGTCACCCAGCGCAGCTTCTCCAAGAGGCTCCTGGGCTCCCTTTTACTGGAACCTTTCCTTCTACAAAGACAAATATAAAGAAATAGGAGATGTATTAATTTCTGAGGGGTCTTCTGGTACTGCAGCATACAGTAATGAGATTTACTCATCCATTTCAATCCATTAAAAGCAATCAATGCTAAACTTTTATTTTCAATGCCAATACTTTTTTCCTCCAAAGACCCTGAAAATTTAGTTCATGGAATGTGTGGAAGCTGTGGGGCCTATTGCCAACTGGTGTCAGTTTGAAAGCTTGTATTTTCAAATGGTACCTAACAGATTATCCAATGGAAACACAATGAGTAGTGCAGATTAAGAAATCAGAATTAAACATGCCCTATTTGAGCACCCAAAAATTAAAGACCAGAATCTGAAGATCTGAAATCCGCAAATTCAAGGAAAAAATATTCTAGGCACTTAATGGAAAATTACAAGAGAGGAAAATGAGTGCCTGTCAGTGAAGCATAGCATGCTGTCTAATATTGCAAAGGATGGTTAGTTCTACTGCGTGGTACCTTGATGAAATGTCCTTAGGACGGGCTGACTTGCAGTGAGAAGCAAGACTTCTCTAGCTATGACCACAATGTCAAGGAGTCTGGATTGCAGGTGTCCCCCTATCCAGAACAAAGAGCTGTTCTTCTCACGTGACAACCCTGAAGTAAAGGGACTGAGTAATCTGAGGCCACACACCAATTTACCATTCTTATTTGTAGGTGATGAAAGCGAGAAGAGGCTTCAAGGAGAGGCTTCTAGGACAGACTATGGAAAAGCCTTTGAAAAGTTAGAGTACAAAGAACTAAATGAGATAGAAATATGTTAATGACAAATACAAAAAGGAAGGTACACATCTATCTTCTAGTCTGCTCATTCCAGCAATTTCAGCATACTTTACTCAAGCCAAGTCACATGTTATGGTAAAAAAAAGAAAAATATAGTAAAGGGAAATATACTCAGAAGATAAACAGTAGTACCAGACGGCTGGCTCTCATTTATAGCCTCATTAGTTCAGCATGACATGCTCTCTTTTACAAAAAAAGATTAATATTTGTGCTGTCATGGTCAAGTCTCAGCCAAACATCTGCATTTAATGTGCATTTCTACCTGGATACACAGCTTGTTCTTGCCCTTCAACTATGCCATCTGATAGCTCATAAGATAAAGCAGGAACAGGAGTAAAATGCAAGTTTCTTTACCTTTAGCAATTTTTCTTAGCTCACTGATTACTGAAAACAGGCTTTCCAATTTCCATCTGTCATAGGGTAACAGCAACTGCAATTACCGTAAACACCAACACAGTAACTGTCAAATACATGCTGCTTGGAACAATTTGTGTAGCCCACAAGCAGGCAACACAGCATTCAGAAAAGGGAGAGCCCACAGTTTGTTCTTGTCATAATGAAACAATATTAGCATGTGCCTTTTGAAAGTGCCCTTTTTGTGCTACAGTGCTAGAGTGTTTGCACAACAGCAAGAGCCCAAATGCATGTGGGAAGTCCCTATTCCCAGAACTTGGTATTTTACATGTGATTTCATATATGATTGCTAAGAAGGGGAAAGCATGAGTGTTGTGTATCTGGAAACAATGAGGTCCCACAAGAAAGCACAGAAAAGGTCTGGTTTAACTATGTTAGAAAAAGACTGAACAGCATGAGAGCTTTGGTTTGAAGATCCCTTGTTTCTTTATATGCTGGTAATGATTGCACCTGTAAAACCCCTCCAGCCTTTTCCTTATACACAAGAAAAGACATACCTATATATCTGTATGTCTATATCTCCCTCGTGGGAATGCTCTATTCCCTTTTATGCTTTTAATTGTCCCCAGTACCAGAGAAAATACTCAGACTCCACTTTGTGAGGAAAGCATAGCATATCTGTCTAGGAATTGTATAAATTCACCCTACCTTGTGATTCCTGCATCCTGAAAAGAGCAGATAAGCCATGACCCAAGCACATGCATGCATTATCCTAGTGGCTTTAAATAGCATTAAAGGTGTGACCCATGTTGGAAGCAGACCTCTTTTCAGTTAGGCACTGTTCCTGGCCTCCCTGAAACACTTTCACTCCAGATACTAGAGAGGCTGGCTAGTTCCATCTGCTGCCTCTAGGTATAAGCACAAATTCAGCAGTTTGCTCACTTGAAGACTCAGGTAAGGACTTCATAAAATTACCAGGGTTGCTGCCAGCCATCATTTTTCTAAACACTGTTTTCAACTGAACTGGATTCAGCTGCAAATTAACCTCCGCTCTGATCATTCTCTGCACACAGGAGGTCCTGCTGGAGAGGCCTGTCAAACTGGAACAGTACCCCACTTTTTTCAGCCATTGGGCACAATTCACAATCCTTTCACAGAACAATTTTTCATTCTTGATGGAACACAAAAACGGCGTCTACATTTCTGTAACTAATTCTGACTGAGTCTGGAAAACAGAGGTCAGAGTATAACTTCTCTCCTAGGTGCAAACAGCTAGAAGTCCCAATCTTGCTTTTGCCATTCTATGTCTTGTAGATGTCAAGAGGTTTTTGAAGAAACATCTCAGCATGTCAACCTCACTAAGAGACTGAGGTGGAAGATGAGCATTGTAGAGAACTCTGGTTGCACCATCACACAAAACAATCATTATGAAAAATGAGCAGTGAAATTAATAAGGTAACAAAAATTATCCAAATAGCTAAAAGATTGTGTACTGTAAACAGTCTGTCTTATATGTATTTTTACAGGACTTCATTAAAGTTCAAGCTTTAAAAGACTTTGCCTTTTTTTTTAACTTTCTACTTGACTTCAAAACTGGGAAAATTCTCCATTAAATTCCAGATCAGGTAGAGGAAAGGCAGCTACATCAGCCACAGAATTCTGATCCTGACAGAATCTTTCAGATTAAATAGGATTGCTATTAAAATGGTAAATTTAATACATTTAATTCAACATCAAGCTGAATTAAGAAGAACCACAAACAAAACCAAACCAAAAGAAATACTTTAGAAAATGAGAACACAGAAACTGTTAGATCTGAGAAGTTCAAGAAAGTACAGCTAACAGCATTTCTATGACATTGTTCTGGGTCTAAGAGCTGACTGGGAAGGAGTGCTACCATTAGTGGGGAGTTTTGCCTGAGGAAAACTGATGCCCAGAGGGACTTCACGGTTCCCCTCACAGCTGAGCTCAGCAAGCTTCAAGCACCACAGCAGCCAGGGTCACTGTGTAACAGGCCACCAACGGCTCTAGAACAATATGCTACTGGAAAATCCCACTGAGAATGAAAGCAGAGAATTAGCAAGGATGCACATGAAGCCATGAAATATCCATCTTTAACTTGGCATGTCTGACACCATCTGTATTCTGCCAGCATGTATACAATCTTCTTCAGCTTCCCTTCCCTGCTCCATTTTCTTCGACCTTCTCAAAGGTGAGATCTGGCTCCATCACTTTTGACCATGAAAGGTGATAGTGGACTCACCTCAGCTGCTCTTTGCTCTGTCCCCACAGGTCAGTGGTCTTCTCAGGAGCCATGTGCAGGTGCAGGTTGCAGACATTGGGTTTCTCAGGGTACAGCTTGAGACACTGCTTCACCCAGTGACGCTGGCAGCCAGGAAGGAAAGGGTTTGCTATGAAAATAAACCCTGGCCACAAAGAAAAAAGAAGAGGATGGAGACAAAGTAGGATTAGATGTTTCCCTGGGTTTTTTTTTTCTGAATTTAGAGCAAAGGATAGGAGCCAGAGTTAGTGAAAAAAACCCCTTAGACATACAAGTATTGACTGTGCATATAAGCTGATGAAATCTATTCTAGTTAAGTTAAAACTTATTAGCTTTTTTCCAGAAAAAAACAAATGGTGGCACAGGGTAGAAGGCAGAGAGGGCAGCCAACACTAGTCCAAACAAAAATTACAATAAAGGTGTAAGGCATATAGATTTGTCTGAGGTGTTCTTCTTTGTAAGGCATATTGATTATAGGAGCTAAAGGAGTAAGAACATGGAAATCCAGTTATTTTGGAGTAAATTTTATTTCTTAAATTATTCAGCATGACTTTTCTCTTAAGCCCCGCAAAGTTAGAGCAATTCTGGCCTAGTTTTTCTATGCTTCAAACTAACTTTATCCCTGGCTCTGAACTCATACTGTCTTCCTACTGCTACTTCAGAAAGAAGTCCCTGAGCTGAGCAAGTGTCTAGTAATGTAAAGTGTCCTCCACTTTTCTTTATGCTTATTTCCTGTTAAGTATGGTTGTATCTATATTTGCATTTTGATATGGTAACACTCAGAAATGAGCATGAAAGTCAAATGATATCCCAAACCACTTGTTATTGACTGTGAATACGTTGGAGGCATTGTTAATTAACAAAACAAAATAAACATGCAGCTACTCTGCACATTCATTCAGCCAGGCACCTCAGGCAGGGTTCCAGCAGCAGCCCATATGAGAGACAATAATCTGTACTGTACCTACTCTGAGAATCAAGGCATTCTCTCAAAGACTGTCACTTCAATAAGACTCACCAACACAAAATCCACATGTAAAGAGAGATAAGGGTGTAAGAGGAACAAAGGAAAAGGAGGTTTCAGGGTTTTGGCCTACTGTGTCTTTTTGAACTTCTCAGTCATATCAACTTAACAGAGACAAAAATAGGTGAAAAAAGAAGCAACAAAGCTAGGACTCTCAGTAGGATACAAACTTGCCTTGTGGCCTTATGAAAGTGGTAATAAAAACACAAAAAAGAGCTACCTGCCAGCATACCTCAAAGACTCAAGATTAAAGTAATTGGTTACAAAAAAAGCCTTCAGTGTATTAATAACACATGGTCATTCACTTCACTCTGTTCCCTGCACTTTCAGAATATGGCAGCCTTCTGATAGGTTTGACTACAAGAAGTTTCTTTGCCAGAAGCAACTTTCTGTTGGCATCTACATACAACAATAATGGAGAATAATAATACTGCCCTTCCTGTCTACAGCTTTTGATGTGGGGTTCTTGAAGCACTTTACTACATTCATGAAATTTCACTCTACTGTGTATGTGTTATCCCCAGGTATTAATGAAGGCATTGAAGCCTGGAGAATTAGTTACAAGCAGAGATGAGAACAAGAATCCAGATTTTATGGCCTTTATCTCACAGACTTAGAACATGCTCATGTCTTTCCAAACCCTTCCTCAACCTAGGTTTCTCTTAAGAAACTAGACTGGTCTAGATTTACAAAAGCAGTAACAACTAAAAAGTGGGTTACTACTATGCTCATTGTGTCAAGAAAGGCAGAAACTGAATTTCTAACAGTTGCAAAGTTTTACTATAAAATTCTGTGCAAACATAGAACAAAGAACCAACAGTGTTAGAAATCAGTGACTTGCACACATAGGAGGGAGAAAAGTGAGAAATAAGAAATATTTCTGTAGCAATCTTTCTGAACTGACTGAAGAACACCTCAGACAAACTTTGAAGACATAATTGAACATCTTGCCCTTGAAAGATGTGAGGGGAAAGGGTAAAATAATTTTTCTTTGTGAATCTGTATACTAAAGGAAACTGCCCTGAGGAAGTAGGTGCAATTCTCTTACTGCAGCGCTATCTTGCTATGTACTACAAATTAATTTGCACCCAATGAAAGTGGTGTCCAACCACAGTCAAAGGAAGAATGAGATATGTAAGACATGCAGATGTCTAATAACAAGAAAAACCTCTCACAAAAAAAAGTGTCAGTTACAAAGACCCAAAGACAGCATCACATGCTTCTCAGGATACAACAGAAATTCACACAGATTCCTTCATCTTCTAATTCATTGCTTACTGTGGGGACAAAACCAAAGTCTTCCTTTCCCTTTGCTCATAGAAAAACTAAAGAAATTCTTACTTCACTTAGAAGGCTATTGGGACAGCTGGTTACACATCGCCTACTGTTTAAGAATGTCCAGATAAAGGAAACTGAAAAATGATAAAATACTATTCTCCTCAAGTCCACACATGACTTGATGCTAAACAGGACAGATAATTTGTCAATGTATTTGCATTTCATTTTAGTCAAAGGTTTCCTTTGCCAAAGCAGAAGAGAAATGCAGTTAAGTGGAACACCTGTGATTCCCCACACCCCCTATGTAATTAGCAGGGAAGACATTTAGACAGACAGTAAATGACAAGCAGACCAAGCAAGGGCAGCGATAATATGACAGACAAGTGGAACAAAACATTTACAGAGGCAAGAAAAGGCAGAAGCCTTTCTCCTGAAGTTATTCAATTCCCTGTGTATTAAACATGCCAGATGGGTAGCATGGCTGCCTCCGTTTCAGAAATGGTAGGCTGGCTTCAAAGCAACCCACACAGAAACTGAGGTCCCAATGAATGGAAGAAAACATGATAAAAAAACATAATTAATCAAACAAAAATTCCTGAAATAAGGAGGATCTGGGGAACTACAAACTCATCAGCCTTACCAAAACCCCTGATAAAATGATGAAGCAAACTTTGACAGTAGCAACTTTTAGACACATGGTGGTTGGGAAAGAGAGCATGGAAGGCAGATTTTGTCTAACCAGCCCTACTGCCTGCTACAGTGAGATGTTCAGACAAGGGGAAAACAGGAGATTATGTTTACCTTGGCTTTTGAAAAGTTTTCCATATGGTCTTCTACAGCACCACTGCAGCCAAACTGGGAGCCATAATTTTTTTGGGCAAATTGAAAAAAGTAAGCAAAAGGTGGATGGATCACCAGGCTTAAAGAATATTGATTTGATGATTCAAAGTCTAACCAGCAGCTGTTATGAGCTGCATTCGTTGATCCTGGGGCAAAGATAACTACAACTACATCAACAACGTGGATGATGGGATGTTCATCCTCGTTTCACTTACAGATTACACTAAATTGGGGCAGCAGTGGATCTTCTGCAGGCTAGTGCTGCCCCTGAAAAGGACTCTGACAAATAAGAATGGGCCTCAGCAGTTCAAGAGTGGTAATTCTGCATCTGGGGCAGAATAACACCATGCAACAGTATGGCCCAAGGGTCAAGAGCAGCTCCAAACCAAGGCCAGGCTGCCTAGAGGACAAACTGTGAGCAGCAGTGAGGCTGTGACACAAGTGACACATCCTGGTATTGGTGAGCACCACTCACAGGCATGAGAGAGGAGGGGAGCCTGAATCTTCTCAGATGTGCACAGCAAGATTGTGAGAGACAACAGCCAAAAGTAACAGCAAGACAAATTTTTATCAGATATGGAGTTTAAGAAAAAAACATGGCCAAACACTGGTACAGGTGCCCAGAGAGGGCATGTAATCTCTCTCCCTGGTGATTTCCAGAACTTACCCATACAAAGCTCTCAGCATCCTGATCTAACTTGCAACTTCATCCTGCTTTAAGCAGGGTATTGGCCTAGACCTCTGGAGGTGCCTTCCAACCTAATACCTCTCTGTGACTATGCCAGGTAAACTGCAAACCTAAACCACATTTCCACTTCTGAAATAACCTGCCTAATGAAATTACTCTGTATTGAATAGGCCAAAAGGTTCTTACTCACTTACTGTACTCCATGTCCTACACTGACAAATAGATGCCACACTTCAACTGTGAAACTACTGAATTTCAGCCATGTACCCAATGAGCATGATGTATATTGAGGAAAAACAGGTTCTACAGAAATAAAGTCTCTGCCAAAGGCAACAGGAGTCCATTCTCATGAGCTATAGTCTGGCTGATCTCACTGTGAAATAACTGGCTCTTCTCACCTTTATAAATATTACTGGATCCCACCCTTTAGCTGATTTGTTTGTCCTCCTGCACTTATGACAACGTTAAATTACACTTAGGCAAACCAAAATAGCTTTTTCAGGCAGAACAAGAAAAATAAGATTCACACTGCATGAATTCAAAGCAATGAAGTTGTGTTTAACTTTTCTTGAAATCAGAGGTACCCACCTGGATACCCACTGAGGCCATAGGCTTTCCACTGGCTAACTGGCTGTAATCCTGCTCTGTAAGCATCTTGATCACTGACTGAAGAAATACTGAGCTGTGATCTGAACACCTGGAAAAATAAAACAGATCTGGTTAAAAAAGAGAGTGAGAAACACAAAACTCATCCAAAAATAGCATCTGAAAGGAAGAGTGCTACCATGCTTGAAGGCAACTCTTGTGAAAATGCCAAATGTACCACAAAGCTACTGCCTCAACAGCTGTGACCAGGACAGGGCAAACAGAGCCAGGACACACTGAACATGAGAATCAAAAGGTACTTACAGGTTTTATCTAGGGATGAGATGTCTCCCACTCATTAAAAAACCCAAACAATATACACCAATGAGAAAAAATTCATTATGATTTGTCCATTTCCACAGTAGACCCTCATCATCATAAAACATTCTGGTAACTATCATCCTCCATTAGAGAGCAACATACTCATAACACTCCTTACTTTCACAGAACATTCCATTTACAGGCTGCCCATGATCCTAGAGGGTAGACGAATAATCTCATCTCTAATTTCAGAAGGATAAGCAGTACAGCAATGAAGTTGCCAAAGCTGTGAGATATGAAGGACTACAGAAACTCTGTCAATTCTGAATGCCACAATGCCAATTCTGTTCCAAACAGCAGGATCAACAGCTCAAGGCTTGGCAAGATGTATTTACTTGACATATTCCCTTATGTTACAACAACACATGTATTTAAGCTAACATTTGCTGGTAAAAAACCTCCAAACTCATTCTACTTTGTTTCCACTCCCTTCTTCCCTTAGGACAGGGAACTGTCTTGAGGAGGGCAAGGCAGAAGCAAGTTGGTTTTGTTCTGGCTTAGTTCCCCAGTCCAGCTCTCCATGCAGCAGTGGAACAGTACAGGTTCATATAAGGAAAGAGATGGCCAGGCACAGAAGGAATAAACAGGCAGAGACTGCAAGACTTTGTCTATGACAACTTAAAATGTGTCAAATTAGGGCCTTTGCACACAGCCTCTGTAGTGGTGCATGTGTAAATCAGCCTCTCTGCAGCTGACAGCTCTGGTTAACATTTTCTGAACAACAGGACTAAATTACATACATAGAAGTTCTAAGAAATTCTGAACTATTGCTGGACAGCTTTTGGCAATATGATCAACTTTACCAATTTTTCAGCTCTTTGTCAAAAGCAGCTTTGTGAGCGTCAGCCTTGAGGTTACTTCACAGTCCTGTCCACAGAGCATCCCCAGGAAGTCTCATCCTCTGACCAAAGCTCTGACACCTCACTGCCTGCTCAAAGTGCTTGCACACCAGCTATTGCCTGGGCTTTTGAGAACAGGAGGTGTTTCTGTGCTGAAGAATTACATCTGCTGAATCAGTTAAACAAGCCTGGTAACAGGGCAGATGGGGTATGTCACACTTCACTGAAGAGCTCAACTGCATGAAGCAGTTTTCTGAGAAAAAAGAAGCAATATTGTCTAGGCCAATCTGCCTGGCCAGCGGGTCTTAAAGAGAAACAGCAGATGTTTTTAACCTGGTGGAAAGAGGAATAAAAGATGTTTTCACTAGTAGTTGCTACCTGATCTTAGAAGGTAACAGGCACAAAGAGTCATATTGAAAGAAGATAGATCCTTGTGATATTCTCAAATTGAAATCAAAAAGAATTTCCCAGAAGAGCCATAATGCTCTAATCCTTTACCAAATACAGGATTCCAGCAAGCTCAAGAAAGGCTGAGATGTTAACAACTTCCTTAGTTAATTCTAATGCTTCTAACAATTTCATATGGGTCAGGTTTTGTGTTTCATTAGCAACAGCAAAATTATAGTCCAAAAAGACAGAAAAATAAATAGCTTAACAGAACACTAACAAGAAAAGACAAAGCATTGAAACAATGAAAAATTAGGCAAAGTTTCATTTTAACTATACTGCTCACTCCTTTTTTTGACATAAGCTCATAAGTAGAAAATCCCTGGATAACAACTTTAGCAGATTTGTGTCATTCTTTTGTGAGGTGACAAAACAGAAGACAAGTTTTAAGGATAATTTCTTCATCACTGAAGCCATGGTAAACGACTACGATGGCTCCTACTTTCAGCAGTGCTGATGACTGTATTCCCCAGCCCACTGTAGCAGCTGAACTCATTCCGATGACTAAGCCAAGCATTTATTATACAGGCGCGAGAAAGGAGAAGAAACTTGATTGGGGGGAAGGCAGTACCGCAAGGGGAAGCTGATTCCAGATCACCCAGGTGTTTCAGGGCTAAGACAAGGGCTAGCAGGGAAACAGTGTCAGTTCCGAGAGTGAAACTCGCCGTGTTTTATGTCCATACATTCTGCTGCTTAAGTATCACGTGGTTCTATAAGAGACTTCGAAGTTCCCTAACTGCAGTATAGGGAGCTAATTAAATATTATGAAAGTAAATATAAGGAAAAGTAGTAAATCTGTGACTGGGTATGGCGCTGGGCAGCGTGCCCCGGCTCAGGGACACCCCGGGCGAGCCCGGCTCTGGGGCCCCGGGCCCTGCCCAGCTGCTCCGCTCGGCTCACGCTCCCACTTTTAAACAGCACAGGGACCCGTAAAAGGCTCAGCGCTCGACTGCAGCGTCCTCTAGACAGAAAGAAGGCGGGTCCAGGGATTCGGCATGGGGCACGAAAGGAAAAGGCAGGTGGAGAGAGCAGGCTACAGCGACACCGACACAGCCCCGCTCCCAGACCGCACCGAGGGCGGGACGCGCTCCGGGCCGCTCGCCGCGGGGCGCGGGCAGAAGCAGCCCAGCATTACCTGGCCCCCCGGCGCAGAGAAGTCCACCACGCCCCGCAGGTCGGACGCGTCGCGCTGCCGATAGAAGCGAAAGAGCCGACGAAACGCATCTTCCCCACCCTCACGGGTCAGGGTCGCCGCCGCCATTTCGGGCCGGCCGGGGCGGGGCCGCCCCTCCCTCTCTCCGTCCCTCCCTCTCACCGCAGTCCCGACATGGCGGCGGCCAGCGCGGTGCGGACGGTCGGGCGCCGCTCCCGGCGGCTCTTCGACATCTTCGTGGCTGAGATTCCCTGGACGGTGTCGAGCAGTGAGTCTGCGCCCCCTCCCATCCCTCGCCGCTGCTGGGGTCGGCGGGGTTGGGCGGCCTCGCCGCGTGTGCCGGCACAGGCCGGGGTGGGCAAGGGCGGCGCGGCTGCGCGGAGGCGCCGGGCCCGGGTAACCTGGTGCGTTTTCCCACAGAGGAGCTGAAGGAGTACTTCTCGCAGTTCGGGTCGGTGCAGAGGTGCCAGCTGCCTTTCGTGAGTACCCGCGCGTCTTCCGGGCCGCATTTCGTGTGCTCTCAGCGAAGCGGGGAAGAGCCACCGGCTGCTCCTGCGGCCGAGGCCTGGCCCCGAAGCAGATCCCCCGCTTCCTTGGAGCTGCAGTCTGGACCCCTCATCTTGAACTCTAGTGAGGTTTTCAGCGCTCTCTACCCTTAGCTCCTTCTTCCAGGAGTGCCACTACTTGTCTGCCAGCGCTCGGCCTCATTGAAGCTTAGTAGTTTCCGTTGGCTTTCAAAGAGCTTTACAAAGTACATCCTTCAGCATCCTGTTGATGCTGCCATTTCTGAATAATTAATCTAAGTGCTTTGAGCTTCTCTATAATCGTGTTGACATTTTTCAGACAGAGAATAAAGTTTTTTTGTGCCTGGTCTCACTGGCCAAAAACTAAAGATGTGGGTATGAACCTACCGTCTTTTCCTGTTGTGGATTAAGACCCCCGTCCAGAGTGCAGGGCTAACACAAAACCCATAACCTCTGCGGGGTGCTGCCAGTGCCTCTGTCGTTTAGGCTGTTTATCTTCTGAGTGGATAGATCAAGGATTGTAGTATCTAGTGCATTTTTTTTAAGATGAACGGTCAAAAAGTGTTCCTTTGCAGGCTAATTGCAGGCATTGCTTGAAGTGTAAAGGTTCTGTCTGCTTGTTTCTCCACTTGAAGTAATCCTGTTAAATTAAGCTCAGTGGGTAGTGAATGTCAGTTAGTGAGCTGATGGGTTCACTCTGTGTTGAGGATTAGTTTGGCAATGGAGAAAGTTTGAAACAGGCTGGTTGTTCTGAACACTTGAAGCTTAGGTGCCTGCCTATCATATTTTCCCTCAAGCCCAGGTCAGACTGCATTGTTTTGTTGCGAAGTCTGGTAGCTTACCACAAACTTACCTCCATCACAGGTTCAAGAGATGCATGTGTGTACATTCACATTCAGTGAATACTTGAGGAGTTTCATTACTGCTTAAAGCCCGCAGGTACAAAAATCACCAGTGCAGGACAGCCTAATTTAGACATCACTGTGGTACTGAAACCAGGCAGTACCTTGTAGGTGGTTTGGAAATGTTGGCATTTATGCCTGATGATGAGAGTGGCTGAGCTGTTGTGAGCTCGGAGTGGGATCAGAGTAGGGACAGAAGGCACTTGGCTTTTCATCATTATCACCCGTTTATTGACAACTGTCTTTTCTGACTGGCACATTATATCTAAAAATAACGTTTTTCTTTTCAGTGCAGTTAGTGCTTGTCATTCTGAATGGCACTCTGCTTTTGTAGTGTCTTAAGCAGCTGCTTTATCCTGCTGAATGTTGTTCAAGTACTGTGGCCATTTAAATGTCAGTTCTGTTGTGACTTGCTTATTAGTAGATAAATACTGCAGTTAGAAACTACTGTCTATACATTATTCTAGGCTTCAACTGTATCTTAAGATCGTGATTTTTTGTTATTATTGCCAGATTCAAATTGAAAGGGATGTAGAACAGCCTGTGCTAGACCCCTCACACTATCACTGACACCAAATGTCTTAGTGTGAAAAAGGCTCCTGAAACAGCAAGTGTGCCAATTCCTCTGACAATTTCTGAATCTTTAAATTCAATACCTGTAGAAAGTTTTTAACAGCCTATGTGAATATTTCCTGTAGTAATTGCATTTTTTTTTACCTGGTAATTAGAACAGAGATACAGGCTTTCACAGACGTTATTGCTGGATTAAATTCTCAACTCCAGAAGAAGTTCAGAATGTGTTACAGAAGGACCCCCACATTCTTGAAGGTTCCAAGGTAACGTGCTAATTCCTTTATTACCTACTATATTCTTTCAAAGTGTGGTTAAGAATTTTAGTCACTCAGTGTGCTTTTAATGTTTTGTAAATCATTACCACTTCTGTTTATTCTCTCCTCTCAACTTGAGTTGTTAGGGGTCAGGATCATAGAGATACCAGAGAGATCACACTCAAGAGACCAAAAACTCCTGCTATGCTAAAGTAATGTGAATGCAGTAAAACTGGTTGGGATGTGCTGTGCAACTAGTTTGCAGTTTGTAATGCAGGTTTCTGCAGGTGGGTTCCAACATCTGATCCAGATGTTGAGTGGCAGGGGGAACATGATAAAGAAAGTGATGCTAAGCTTTGAATTTCAGTGAAATTTATGTTTTCTCCAGCTGTCATTTCATACAGGAGAAATCAGCTGCTTGCTTTCATGTGTTCAAGACAACTCTAAAATTCTTTAGTGTAGGGTCTTGTTCTCTCCATCTTTAAGATTTTAAATGTTAGTAACACAAAAAATAAAACTGTTTGGCACTCTCAGTGCATTAATGTATGGCTTCGAGCCAGTGTACACATCTACTACACATGGGTCTGTCCTTGACTGGTCAGCTGGAGCCAGACAACTCTGTCCTCCAGCTCCACTCCAGCTCCACTCCAGCACAGAAACACAGCAAAGCCATCTCACCACTTTCTCAACATTTAGTGTGCAGTGGTACTGACAGATAAGGAATAAATAACAGTGAGTCAATGGCTGCCCAAAGCCATTTTATTAACAGCTCTCGTATCAAAACAATTAGAACCTGGCATCTGATATGTTCCCTAAATAGGGGATTTTCTTACAGACTTACATGTGCTTCAGCTAATAAAACTACTCAGATGGTGTAATAGAGAGCGAAACCATGAGCAGTAGGCAGGCTGGTGTATCACACATAATCAGTTCAAGCCTTTGATTAATTAATAAGAATTCTTCAATATCCTTTTGACATCTAATTTCTTATTTTGAGACTTTAAATGCTAGGAGATAGTAAAAGGAATTGATTATAGACTTCAGTGATGCAGTATTTTGATTGTGGTAAAGTATTTCACTTGCCATGGTTCATATTACTGCCCAAGTCATCACTGTTTGTGGTTACTTCAGTACCTATTCCCAAGAAGAACCAACCTGCAAGTTCCACCTGGTACAAAAATGGGAGCAGAAATTAAGACTCCTTAAACTGTGATTACATTGGCAGTAGGTTGGTCCTTCATAAATTGTGTTGAAATTGGATCTTATCTGTTTGCAATTACCAAATTAGGTACTAGAAATGACATAGTATTTAGTGGCAATTTCCTGGAAATTTTTGCTACTTTTTGTTCTTGAATCTGTAAGCTTAGCCACATGCATTTAACTGCCTAGGCTTCAAAGACTATACTCTCACCAGAGGTGCATGCTAAGAGGCTTCTTTATAGTGAAATAAAAAGCAGAAAGTAAGCAGTAGTTATTTTCATTTCTTAGAAAATGCAGGCTTCTCTAGATTACATGAGCACTTTTCCCAATTTTTCTAGGCTAGCTTTAGACAGTTACTTTTTATTAATTCCAGTTGAAAGCACAAGCTTTTAAGCTGCATTTTGCTGGTACAGCTAGCAATTGCTGTGGATATATATTCAACTTTTGTGTCAGGAAAGCCCTGGCTTGGGGCTTATGAAACTGAATTGGTTATAAATGTAGCTTCTGCTTCCTGTATCAATGTTCAGGGTGATCAGAAATGAAAAATAACAAACTTTCTTGCCTAGCTAATTTAATGAATTTCCATTGTTTTCAGCTCGCTCTCAAACAGCAGGTCCGTAGAAGACGCAGTCAAAGAAGGAGTCAGAGTGAGTGAGTGGTGGAAGGAGGCTTTATTTCACTAAATGTAAAGAAACTAAAATAAAGATTACTGAGAAGCTATGAATGAGTACTTGTTTTAAAACAGAATCCAGCTGTTTCCCCTCCCTTGTTCAAAAAACTGTATAGCCACACTAAAACACTGAATTATTAACACCCCAGCATCTGTTACAGCATAAGATGATCATTATATACAGCAGGAAAGCTCTTAACAGATGAAGTCAAAGCTTCAGCTACCTACAAAAACTAAAGCTGTAGGAAGGAGGCTACATTCTTACCCTGAGGTGCTGGGCAGTGGGGAATCAGCAAAGTCAGAACTTGCTAAAGAATAATTAATTCCCTTATGAAATGTTTCAAAGTGGTCTCCATGTCTTCTCTCTCTTCAGGTAGCTGTCCCATGTAGAAGTTAGTGTGTGTCTGTATCCACACAGCCAGAGTTGTGAATTGCTGTGATGCAATGCCATCCTCCTGTACACTCAATATTAAAACCCCTTTTGCATGAAGTCCAAGCTTGCAGTCCATTCCCCTACCTCTCAAGGAGCAGAGGCGTTCAGTCCTTCCTCCTCTTCTTGCTCTCGTGCTCATGTTCCTTAGGGCGGCTGCTGTCCGATGGCCGTTTAGAGCCACCGTGTTGCTTGGCTTCCTCCAGAAACTTGTCCAAACCAAAAGGATCCTCCTCAAATTGAACTGGTCCGTCTCTGCCCCTGCCTCTGGTGTTACGATCCGAGTTAGAAAACTCTTTGTCAGGAACAAACCTGCAGGAGAAGATGATACTCAGTTGACTATCTTCAAAGTACTAATTAAGAATATTTCTTAAATTTATTTCCTTACCTGTTGGTCTTTATTCGAGCCTCTAGATCATCACCATACATATCCTTATCCAGATTTTTACTTGGCCTGTAGATGTTTTGGGCCATATCCTTGCCACTTCTCCAAGGCTGGTCATAAACATTATAAATTTCATCCTCTCCTCCAGCAAAGCCACTATCCATACCCTGTGAGGAACAGAACAGCACAAGT